ACTGGGCAGGGAGGATCTGCATATCACTATGTGATACAAGCCAGACTGCAGAGGACAGATAAGTCAGGGAATTCAGGCTGCCATTGCAGTGGGATGAATGTCCACAGATCCAGGCAACTCTTGTTCTGGCCTGGGCAAACCTACCTGTGTGTTCTTAGTGCCCTCCACAAGGACAGAATTTGACAAGCAGAATCCAAATTTACCTTTGTTTTGTGCTGTTCATGAAACAGGAAAAAAAGCTCATTATGGCTTTGACATTTTGAATGGAATATAATCTGTCATGCAGTAATGGAGGGAACACATTTTAATATTTCTGGAAGAGACCATCTTATGTCACAATAAGCAGAAAAGGTGAGTGTTCAATAAATTTGTAGTTTATAATTACCTACTTAGGGAGAAAATACTAGGGAGGTTTTAATATACCAGATAAAAACATAACAAAACAATAGCTGGCAGTTGAACTCAGAAATTTGAATCAGAAAGACGACAGCTTTTTTTAACATTGAGTATAGTCAACCATTGCCACAGACTACCCAGTGGACAGGCACAGTAGATTCTCTCCCAGTTGATATTTCCAAATTGAGCTGGGTGAAGGGGTTGCTAAAAGACAGGAACTGGCTCAACTGCAAATCACTGGGCCGGATGATATCTGTATGGCCTATGAGAAGAAGACTAAATTGTTTCCTGTGTTTTTCATGTCCATGTAGGTAGGAAACAATATTACCATCTTTAATTGCAGGAATAAAGGTTTAGATTAGGCAACTGGGCAACCTTCATATAGTAAAGAAGTGAGAGAATGTGATAGACTTAAAAAAGTTATAGACTCTCCATTTGAGTGGCCTTCGAAGTGGGGTAATTGAGCATCTATAAAGGGTATGAACAGATGCAAAGATACGGACATCCCTTGGCTCAGGAATGGGACCAGAGTAACCTTTAAGGCTATTAAGGTCCTTTACTTCTTTAATTTCATAGTCTTTGCTAGCATTGGTCAAGATTTCTGAACCTGTATCTCAGTAGGATTCAGCCCTACAAACCTGTCAGGTGTCTGAACTCCAGTGAAAGTACTTCATATTTAGTGCAGTCTTAAAGCCACCACTGCCAACATACTCAGGGTTTGTGGCCTGGATGTCTCATCATACCTTCTCACAACATAAAGATAAAAAATTATACTTGAGCCATTGGTTGCTAAAATCAAGCCTATTTACAGACTGGAGGGTTGAATCCATGTGCAATTCCTTGAACAGTTTTAATGAAGTCTTGGCTTGTGCTTAACTTTAAACACATGAATAATTTCATCACTATCCAACAGAGCACTTCAGCCTGTGCTTAAGTTTCTCTGGTGTTGATTACTCCCATGCTCAAAGTCAAGCACATGCTAAAGCGATAAAGACTACACATGGCAAAGCCTATATGACTAGTTGTCATAAAGTGGGTATTTAGACAGACTTCAGTGCAGGTGGCTAGGGATTAAGATAGCCATATATCAAAAGTAGCCTTATAACAAAGAGTTTTATAGTGTAGGTGCACTGCATTATTAAATATAAGGATCATTCTCGAGCAATACGTGGCTGTTTCTGGGCATGTTTAAAATATTTAGTGAGTTTTTGAATATAAAAATGTTCGGAGTGGATCTTCAAAGACTTTTTGACATTGTTCTGTTCTTAAAAGTGAGCATCTACACTGCTCAGGGCAACTTCTAGGCAAGATAACCATGAAGTGATAATATGGAAATGAAAGTGGTTTTTTTTTTTTTTTTTTTTTTTGTATTTTATATTTTTTTAAAGGAGGAGTCTGGGGAGAATCTTTGAGGGTGAAATTTTATATATATATATATATATACATATATATATATATATATATATACATACATATGTGTATGTATACATACACACAGCCACACATACAAACTCATAGAGCAGTCAGAGATTGGTAGCCAGGCAGCCTGCAGTTAATTTTGCCGTTGTACAGGGATCTCTTGAAGATGAGTGTTTAGGAGCATAAAAGCTAAATAAAACAAAAAAAGAGGAGAAGGCTGTTCTACGACTTCTAGCTTGTAAATCTTACATCACTAATAGCACTAATTTGCTTTGTTTGAAAGAAAACTAAAAAGGAGAGGTTTTACTTTCCTCACTTGGATTTCATGGAGGTGAAGTTTTGGAGAACAAAACAAAACAAAACATCTCAGTTCCTCATAACGTGTAGTAGCAAGAATCCAGCCAGCTGCCATTTTGAAGGTAATTTTTTTAATCAGCCATTTCAGTTTTAGATTGGCCTTGATCTTCAGCCTGCTCAGGAATTCTTCTCCTTACATATGTGCCACTGCTGAAGTAAACGCATTGCTGTTGTTGCCATCTAATGCACAGCTGCTTTCTTCCTCCTGTCAGCTCTTGAGCTAAGCAAGGAGAATGCATGCACACGCACACTCACATACTTTATTTTTTTTTAACGGGGGAAAAACACACACACACACACACACACAAAAACACAAAAAACAACAAAAAAAGAAAGCATGCTGTGACTTTAAAAATGAAAGAATCAAACAGCTGTGGGTAATAAATCGATTAATTAGAGTGGATAAAATGAAGGTGAAGGGTGCAGAGCACTCTTTAATTTGAAGATATATGACCTTGTAAGATGCTGCACTTCATTTGCTATTATATCACACTTCAGAAAGGGCTTTATTAAAATCTATTCTAGGGTGAGCTGAGGTAAAACATATTGTTAAAAAAAGCTTTTGACAGAGTATGTTATATACTTTAGTCTGCTTCAGTGATTTCTGTCACTTTTTATACTACACATGTTGCTGGGCAAGAAAAGTTAAACGTCTAGACATTTTCATCATATTTCTGTAAGAAACAGAAATTTAAATATTTGAAGTAATAATGGGAGCATTTACTGTTGCTTTGGCTGCAGAGCTGACATAAAACTCCCTAACTGCCTGAGTGCTGAGTAGATTTTAAGGGATAATGTATCAGTTCCTTTCAGTGTTTGTATGTAGCTTTCATTAGTGTCAATAGCAGTTATGGGCACTTTTTTTTCCAAGCAGAACACAGCTCCCAAGCTTGTTTTTTTTTTTTTCTTCAGTAGTGGTTGCTAGAGATTAATCAGAGCAACTGAGCGCATTCGGTGCGACACAGCATGAAGGGCCTGGGTGTGGGGGCTGTGTCAGTTGGACATGCCCGCGGTGTTGGGCAGAGTTTTTCTTGGCTGTAGACACCTGGATTCTCTGAAATCAGGGTCTGAAACTGCTATCCACAGCAACAGCCCTGCAAAATCAATAGGAGTGGGAGGAACTGCACCACATTTATCACATACCTTTGTATATAAGTCCCAATCTGATAGATGCTCATTCATTTACGCCTTTGTGGATGTTCATTGGTGATAAGATTAGATAGACTGACAGGCTGATAGGTAGGCAGATAATCCTCTAGTCTTCTTGTCTAGGGTTTTGTAGGTTTTGTTAGCAGCAGCCGTTCCTGCAACAGCTAGAAGAGGAGAATTCAGCCAGCAGCAATCCTTCCTCTCCTGGTGTGTCCCAGATTTTTTTTTTTTTTTGACTGCTATGAGTCATTTCTCTTCACAAAGGTAGTTTTGATGATACAGTTCTGCTCACCTTATAAACTTTTCCCTTTTCAAACTAAAGCAATGGCTTGCTCTGAATCACACTTCCCCATCTAGGCATGGGCTGTACAGCTCAGCTTTGGACCCACGCTCTGGTGGGGATGGGGAGGCTGGGGGGCTTGGGGTGCTACATAGACACGGAGGGGAGACAGGTCCAGGTTTTGAACTTGCAAGACGTTCAGTGCATTTAGGTACAGTGGGGTCAAAATGCATGCTTTCATAAACAAACAAACTGTCCTGCAAGAAATTACTTGTAGATTTTCCAAAGTGGGGAGTTGTTTTTCAGGATACCTCTCCCTTGTTTTAAGAAAAAAAAATAAATCCTGGATCATGATGTTCAGGTTGACAGCTATTTATAAATTTATCACAGTCTTTCAGAAGCATAGAAAAAGAGTTGGGGGTGTGTGTGGGGGGAAAGTGCTTTTTGAAGATAGCACATAGTTTATATTGTGCCCGGGACTGGAATTTTCTAGCTAGCAAAATTATGACTGCAACACAGACTTGTCCATACCTGTCCTTTATGTAAAGCTGAATCAAGGTTAAAGGAATGCTTTCCACCTTTATGCAGTTGTTCAAAGAGGCTAGAAAGGCAAACAGAACAATGTTTTTGGCTCCAGTGAGCGTTACTGTATTGGAGGGCAGGCTCAGGCTCAGAAATTCTTGGGACACAGTTGAAGCACGGCCCGACATTTGTTACTGTTAATTGCAACTGTGCTGTCGGCTTTGATTACCGGATGTTTCATTTGAATGACTTCTTGGTGTTTTGGCAAAAATAATGTCAAAGTGGCTTATGCAAGGGTACACTTTCCAAGCTCCTGTTGACTCAGATAGGACTTGTGCAGCTAAATACTTACATAGCATTTTAAAAATGGAAGTGCTGGCATGACTGAAACATGTATAAATTAAATTCAGCAAGATCTCAGGGGACTGGTGCATGAAGTATATAAAAATATAAAGTGAAACAGTGAAAATGATACTGAAGCTGCTTGCAGGTGCCCCATAAAACCTACTATACCGCATTTTCTTTGACTTTCACATGTAGCCATAAATCCCTTGAAACAAATTCCTTTTTGTGGAATAAACACGTGAAAAGATTTGGATCCTCATGTGTCATAAAAGGTTTTATTTGCAAGTTGGAGGATATAAATGTATACAGCATGGGTGCATATGTGTGATATTTGTCATACATGTTAAGTGAATAAGTGTGGTGAGTAAATGTGCTGTTCAACAATTTATATCAGTCAATACATTGCAATTAAGTCCTTCTTTCAGAAATGCCAAGGAGGAAATGTGTTAGCAAAATAAAGTGCATGCCAACTGTATTTAAATGTTCTCCACCGTATTATTTTTTGAGTGTTCTTTCTGTTTTTCTTTTATAGGTAAAGATGAGCCTTCAAGCTATATTTGCACAACATGCAAGCAGCCTTTTAATAGCGCTTGGTTCTTGCTTCAGCATGCCCAGAACACACATGGATTCCGCATCTACCTGGAAACAAGCCCTTCAAACAGTTCCCTTACTCCACGCATCACCATCCCTCCTCCTTTGGGACCAGAGACTGTTGCACAGTCCCCGCTGATGAATTTCCTTGGAGACAACAACCCTTTCAATCTTCTACGGATGACAGGACCCATCTTGCGTGAACACCCAGGCTTTGGTGAGGGTCGGCTCCCAAACACGCCTCCACTGTTCAGCCCACCACCTCGTCATCATCTGGATCCACATCGCCTTAGTGCCGAAGAAATGGGGTTAGTTGCCCAGCATCCCAGTGCCTTTGACAGAGTTATGCGTTTAAACCCCATGGCAATTGAGTCCCCAGCGATGGATTTCTCCAGAAGGCTTCGAGAGCTGGCAGGAAACAGTTCCACCCCTCCGCCAGTCTCGCCCAGTCGCACCAACCCTATGCATCGCCTGTTGAATCCTTTCCAGCCAAGTCCTAAATCACCTTTTTTGAGCACCCCGCCATTGCCCCCCATGCCCCCCAGCAGCACTACGCCTCCCCAGCCTCAGGCCAAGAGCAAGTCCTGTGAATTCTGTGGGAAAACATTCAAGTTCCAGAGTAACCTTATTGTCCACCGGCGCAGTCACACAGGAGAAAAGCCCTACAAATGTCAGCTCTGTGACCACGCTTGCTCCCAGGCCAGCAAGCTAAAGCGTCATATGAAAACGCATATGCATAAAGCTGGCTCCATGACAGGCAGGTCAGACGATGGACTGTCCACCACGAGTTCCCCTGAGCCAGGCACAAGTGAACTCACTGGAGAGGGACTGAAATCCGGTGAGACAGATTTCAGGAACGAGAGCGATCCTTCCCTGGGTCATGACAATGAAGAAGAGGAAGAGGAGGAGGAGGAGGAAGAGGAGCTGGAAAATGAGAGCAGGCCAGAGTCAAGCTTCAGTATGGACTCAGAACTGAGTCGTAACCGAGAAAATGGTTCCAAATCGCTGCCAGATGAGAAGTCCCTCGTCCTGGGAAAAGTCATAGAGAATGTAAGTCTTGGTGCCATCCAGCAATACAACGACATGCTAGCTGAGAAACAGAAGAGAAGTAGCTTCATGAAAAGGTCTTCTGACCAGCGAGACTTGTGTCCTCGAGACCTCTGTCCGAGAGACACAGGTGATGAAGACTCGGTGGTAGGAGAGCTGGACCGCACCGAGGAAGGGACGGTCAATGGAAGAAACTTTGGCCCAGGTGAGCCCTTCCCAAACTTGTTCCCTCGCAAGCCAACACCTATCACGAGCCCCAGTTTAAACAACTCATCTAAAAGAATAAAGGTTGAGAAAGATTTGGACTTGCCACCAGCAACAATAATACCTTCCGAAAACGTTTACTCCCAGTGGCTGGTAGGGTACGCAGCATCGAGGCACTTCATGAAGGATCCGTTTCTAGGATTCACAGACTCCCGACAATCCCCCTTTGCCACCTCTTCTGAGCACTCGTCGGAGAACGGGAGCCTGCGTTTCTCCACCCCGCCGGGGGACATGCTGGATGGGGGGCTCTCAGGGCGCAGCGGCACGGCCAGCGGAGGCAGCACCCCCCACATCAGTGGTCCGGGCCCCGGGCGACCCAGCTCGAAGGAAGGGCGCAGGAGCGATACATGTGAGTACTGTGGCAAGGTCTTTAAGAACTGCAGCAATTTGACGGTGCACCGTCGGAGCCACACTGGAGAGCGGCCTTACAAATGCGAGCTCTGCAACTATGCATGTGCCCAGAGCAGTAAGCTGACACGTCACATGAAAACGCATGGCCAGATAGGGAAGGAGGTCTACCGCTGCGACATTTGCCAGATGCCCTTCAGTGTTTACAGCACCCTGGAGAAACACATGAAAAAGTGGCATGGAGAACATTTGCTGACAAATGACGTCAAAATTGAGCAGGCAGAAAGAAGCTAAGCCCCCTCCCCACCCCCGCCCGCCCCGTCCCTTCCCCTCCTTCCCCCCCGCTAGGTTAAATTTCAGGGGTCTAGGTAACATTTTATTTGTACAGTTTAACTATTGCCAACTGAGAAAAGATGACCTAACTTGCCTCCGTAAACATAACTTAGCATAACTATGGTAGGTGCCAGACTTTGGCACTTAAATATAACCTGTGTCTACAAAGTTCTATTAAACCCGAGGGTTGATTAAGGCAGTAAAAATTGTGGAGCCTTTTAACTGTGCAATAATTTCTGTATTTATTGGGTTTTTGTAATTTTTTGGCATGTGCAGGTACTTTTTTTTATTCTTTCTGTTTAAATTTCTTTTAAAATTTTGTTGGGTATCCCTTTTTAATTTTACCCAGTCGTAGCCTGAGATTACTTGCATTGTAGGGGTGAAACATATCTTTTTAAATTATATTTTTTGGGCCGCTGCTTTGTTGAAATTTAAGCTAAGCATGTGTAATTTCTTGTGAAGAAGCCAGCATTTTAACAGAGATCTTTCTTTCTTTCCAAACCCTCCCCCCACCTCCCTTTTTTTTCCTTTCCTCTTTTAAATAACCTTGAAGATTAGTGAAAACAAAATTGTACAGCGGATAACAATCTTTAAAATTAGCACTTTCTTTTGGAATTGGGTGGATTATGTAGCACTGACAATGTTACTAACGATAGAGGCCTTTTATAGATGGATTTCATCATTACAGTCATGCCAGCTAAAAAGACATAGGTGCAGACGGCAGCTACATTCAAAAAAGAGTAACATTCTTAATTGTGCATTATTACAAGATAGTTTCTTCTTGTTGTTAAAGCTATGGCAACAGAACGGTGCCATTTTGTCACTTTTGGGGGTCTTTTTCCTTCCTTCTTCCCTGCCTGCCACTTTTCCCAGAGACAGTAAAAGTACATCTCAAGTATTGTAATATTCTTTTCAAACCTTAGAGGAGCCAAATGCCACCTTTTTTTCATTTTAAACTGCACAAACACATTTCTGAGTCCAGGATGTCTGTATGTGCCTCTCCTTTAGTCCAGATTTGCTGTAGTTAAAATAATTACTAGAGGATGGGCAAGTGGCAATTTCTCAATGAAAAATCTCAACTCATAGTCATTTGTTTTGTGAATGGACATACCAGAACTATCTTCTATGATGTACAATGGCATTACAAGGAAAGGAAAAACTAAATTCTAGTTGATCTACCTATCTTGGCAAGATTCTGCTTCTACTGAAGTCATTAAGAGTTTTCCCATTGACTTAATTAGGAACAGAAGTTAGTTGTATTATGAGAAAAGCATTATGACAGAAAAAAAAAAAAAGTAAAGAAAAATGCACCTGCTCTACTTTCAAATTTTAAAAATTTTCAAAGCCCATTATGACTAATATTAACAAACAGTGGACAATTATGGTTAGAGATTTTAATTATGTTGACCCGCACTTTAAAGCTTTTGTTTGTGGTTAAGAGAAAAATGGCTTCTCAACAAGAAATTACATCATATTCTTCTACTTGGCCCAAAGGTGGGTTAAACTGTAAGGGAACAGCTGAGATTAAGTGTCAGTGTTGCTAAGCATGGCATTCACAATACTGGCACTATAAAGAAAAATAAATAAAAATAATTTATTGGACAGTTTTTCTACTGCCATTCAATTTGACGTGAGTGCCTTGAAAACTGATCTTCCTATTTGAGTCTCTTGAGACAAATGCAAAATGTTTTTGTGAAATGAAAAGACTTTTAAAAAAAAGTAAAACAAGAAAAGTACATTCTTTAGAAAAAAAGAGCCACATTTACTTAAAAAAAAAAATTACTGGTTGAAGATAGTGGACATGAAAATGCCATAAGACCCAATCAAATGAAGATGTATACCCAGCACAACTTCGGACATCCATTAGCTGAATTATTCTCAGCCTTTTTTTTTTTTTCAGGACAACGCTGCTTAGGAAATGGAATGGAAATGATTTACTGCTGAATTAAAACTCAAATGACACAAATTACAAGTTGTTATCATTGAATGAGAAAAAACAATTCAGGAACAACGGCTAATTTTTTTTAAAAGTTAAATTTAGTGCACTCTGTCTTAAAATACGTTTACAGTATTGAATACATACAAGGGTAAAAAAGAAATTGTGTGTATGTGTGTTTGAGCAATCTTTTTTTTTTCAAAGTTTGCTTAATAGGTTATTAAAAAATGCCATAATGGCCATGTGTATATTGTTTTCTTTTGGTGACGGGGTTTTAGTATATATTATATATATTAAAATTTCTTGATTACTGTAAAAGTGGACCAGTATTTGTAATAATGGAGAATGCCTGGGCATTTTACAAAACCAGAAAGAAAAAAAAAAAAAACTTTTCTTTTTTCCTTGAAAATGTTGCAGTAAAATTTAAATGGTGGGTCTATAAATTTGTTCTTGTCACTGTAACTGTAAAGTCTTGAGTTTTAGTAAATTTTTTTCTGCCTTGGGTGTTGAATTTTTATTTCAAAAATGTATAGAATCTTGTATTTGGGGATTAAAAGGTGATTGCTACACCATGTAGAAAAAGTATGTAGAAAAAAGTGCTTAATATTGTTATTGCTTTGCAGAAAAAAAAAAATCACGTTTCTGACCTGTACCTATTTTTCTCTTTTTTTCTCCCCCATTTCCCCTTTTCTTCCCCTTCTGGAATGGATATTGATATTGGTTGATTCATATGATGTAGGCACTTGCTGTATTTTTACTGAAGCTTGTAATTTTTTAACTGTACGCTTGTCCTTTTAAAGGGATTTAATGTACCTTTTTGTTAGTGAATTTGGAAATAAAAATAAAAACAAACAAACAGGCTGCCATAATATATTTTTTTAATTTGGCAGGATAAAATATTGCAAAAATAATAAAAAAAAATTTGTATGTCAAGTCCTTATTGTACAGGAAAAAAAGGGGGTTGTTAGACGACCTTTGAGTAAAAGAAGCAAAACAAAATAATTAAGTGCTTTTTTATTTTTGTTGTTGTTGTTGTTCAGAAATAATTTTAGTTGTATATATAATTTTTATTTTTTTTTTGTCAGAAATGGCCTACAAAAAAGTGCTGTTCCCACAGGGCTCTAAATCACTTCAAAGTTGCCTGGACCCCTTGCATCAAGGTTTTACCAGGTATGGTTGAACCAGGCTGGATGGTTATTGCCTATTCGTGAGAAATGAAATCCAGTTTCCATAAAGGTGTCTGAGGCGACATCCCACAGCTTCCCCGCAGGTTCAAGAGAGAGAGAGGAGATTCCCCCCTCCCCAAAAAAGAAGATGTACAACACATCTTCCCTCTCCTGGCCACCCCACTCACTTCCTGCCACTGCCCTCTGGAAGAAAGGCATTTTATAGCAAAAAATGAGAGCTGGCGCGTCCACTTTGACACAGGTAAAATGATCCGCTGTCGGTACAGTTGTGACCAGGTTGAAGTAAAATTGGTCCAGGCACAGCCCTCCCCTTCCCTGTCAGAACAGGACCTACTCCATGTACAGGTCTTGCCAGTCCATGTTATTAGCTGCTTTGCTGCTGTTCACTCCGAATTGTACATTCCATGAATTTCTGAATGTTTGAGGGACTGGGATGAAATTCTGTGCCTTTTGATGTCTCTCTTCTTTGCTGTTCTTTCTCTCTCTCTCTCATGCTCTCTCCCTTTTGGGTCGAGGGGAAGACAGGTTGCAGAAGAGGCACTGATGCTCTAGTGAAGGGGAGAAGGGGAAAGTGCTCACCGCCCTTGCAGGAAATGACGGTAAAACTAAAACAAACAAAAAGAATTTCCATGCCAAATTCTTCTGCAGCTTTCATCAGTGCAGAATGGCTGGAGCAATTGGAGAGGCATGGGTGTGACAGCAGGGAGAATTTGGTCCAGCTACCTAACAGATATGTCTTCCTGGCTTGAGCAACGTACCCTTAAGACTTCTGGACAAATTTTGGATCTCAATTAAACTGATAACAATCAGGAATTATTCATCACTTATAGTGCTGGCTTACTCCAGCGCAGCTGAGGCAGGAATCTAATCCCTTAAAGGCATATTTTCACTTTTAGGTGAAAATTCAGAACTCTGACATTTGTATAGAACCAGAGTCATATCACGGAATTCGGCAGAATGCCCTGGACATACATCAGTGTAATGAAGATCAGAAGTTAACAGTCCATTTATCAATGTTTTCAGTCCATGATTCTTCACTTTAAAAATGAATTCACCTTTCATTTTAGTGTAAGCTGCTTAGGAGCTCCGGTCCCGCCCCCCCCCCCCCCCCCTTTTTTTTTTCATTAATCCAGAATAGCTAACACCAGCAGTTGTCTAGTCTTGTGACTTAGATTACTGAAACTAACAACAAGTCACCCCAAAAGCACAAAGGTTGTGTTTCTGCAGACTGTAGTGATATAGTGATAATGAAATGGCCCTCCTTTTCTTCTTGCTTAGGAGAACTGTAGTTTACTAGGCCATAAGCACAATATAGCATAGATGTAAAATAGATAGAATGCTGCCATAGTTCTTTTCACAATTATTTCTCAACTATTTTTTTTAATTACTATTATTATTTTAAGGTTGAATTTATTACTTGCATTGTGTCTAATCCTGCTGCCTTTGAAGTTTGGATCAAAACTCCAGATGACTTCCTTGGCAAGAGGACAGGCCCGAGAACCTGGTTTGAGGAAGAAAAATACTTATTTTTAAGGAAAGGGTCAAAAAATCAGCATTTCATCCCAGTCCTATGTAAAAGACAGTCCAAGGTTTTGTTTATCACAGGCAAACTCATTTTTATGGTGCTCTTTGTATTTTAGAACTGCAAAGCAAAGTAACGTTGATTTAAGTTGTTTGCATTTGTACCGGCAAGGCAAAATATTTTTATTACCTTTTTCTATTACTTATTGTATGAGCTTTTGTTGTTTACTTGGAGGTTTTGTCTTTTACTACAAGTTTGGAACTATTTATTATTGCTTGGTATTTGTGCTCTGTTTAAAAAACGAGAGCACTTTTTTTTTTTTTTTAATGGATAAAATGTTGAGATGGCTGGAGGTCATTTCAATATGGCTTAGTGAAATATTTATTGTTCCTTTTATTCTCTGTACAAGATTTTTGGCCTCTTTTTTTTTTCCCTTATTGTCACAATGTTGAGTTCAGCATGTGTCTACCATTTCATTTGTACGCTCGTTCAAAACAACGTTTGTTCCAGTTTCAAGTTATAAAAATAAATTGGACATTTGACTTGATCTCCAAATCTTGTCTTTCCTGTTTTTTATTTTTTTGTTTTTGTTTTTATTTATTTATTTATTTATTTTGGAAATTGAGGGGTGGGAAGGGAAAAAAAGCAGCAGAATGAAGCGAGGAGTTGGAACTTCAGCATGGGTGAAAGACCCTGTGCAGTGTTTTCTGTCAGTTCTTGTGGGGTCCATCAGTAGAGAAGTCTTGTTTGGGGAGGACATGTAAACCTGAAGTTAAAAATACACCTAAATGCTGCTTATGTTTCTTGGACCTAAAGACCTCCCCCCTCTGCACACCTCTCAGCCATGTAGGCATCTTGAGAGAAAATTGTAGAACAATCATTTAAACAGTCAAATTTCTTACGTTAGCAGTCATATGCACCTAAGTTGGTTAATATGTTTTGCTTCTTTGGTGCCAATGTAAATGGGGACAACAATCACTGATATAACCAGGAGCTGAATTTGGGCCACAGACTGTGTGCCATTATGTGAGAAGCACTGCAATACAACTTCAGTTTCACATCTGCTCCTCCTCCTCAGCTAGGGACAAAGGCATGCACATTTACAGGCAGAATTGTGCATGATTTGCAGTTTGAGGATAAGAGCTGACAGCTACAGGCAGTTCACTGTCCTGATACTCTTTATCAAGCCAACCTGTTAGCAGCAAATGCATGGAAATCTTAAATGAGAGAATTGTATTCAAACCATTATTGGAAAGCTCAGGAAAGATGTGGAGTGCCGGAGACCAGATTCTGATTTCCTGGAGGCCTTGGTCCAACAAACCATGTAACAGGCTTGTGATTCAAAGCAGGTGGGTAATTGAAATTCATTTCAAAGGAACTGCTCCTGGACTTTAAAGTATTTGGCTCAACTCAGAAGTCAGGAGGGGAAGCTCAGTGGTTTGTGCTACAGAAGAGCTCCTACAGATGGTCCCTTCCTGATCTTGGGCTCCCTGAATCTACAATCTAAATTTAGGTATGTGTGTAAGTGCTTTGCTGGATCAAGGCTTCAGAATGATATAAAAGTTACAGTCCTTGAAAATTTGCACTCATGAAAAAACAGTGAAAACGAAATCAGAACCCAACTCTAGCAGTTACACTGGGCTATAGTTCACAGTGTAGTTTCCCAAATACCATGTTTGTTTTGAATGCACAGTTTGCATTTGAAAGGCATGTTTCTGCCATCCCATAAACATGACTTAAGGGAGCTTTAATTGGGCTGTGTCATTTCATTATCTCTGAAGGTGTTGCAGGATTTGCAGATGTGGCCGTGGTGTTTTAAGATGCAGTGGCTCCTGCTGTACATTCTGGCCATGGACGGGTGGGTTTTTGGGAGCAAAAGAACTTTTTTTCCATCCACTGCCTCTGCTAGGGTAGGTTGTATCTGCCCGGAAAGGAGAAGCATGGGCGGCTTGGCAGTGGTAATGTCTTAAATCATCACTGTTGGATCTGCTAGAGCTTGTCTGTCAGAGTCCTTATTACTCATACATATTGAGCATGAGGGAAAAAGCAGGATTAGGCCCCTTTGACAGAGGAAATGTGAGAAATGACATAAACAAGGCTGCAAACAAATGAGTCTTTTTGCAGCATCCTCGGGTTAGATGTTCCTGTTTCACACATGTTTGTGTAACCCAAGAAGAACTCTATTATATTCAGATGTTTAGAAAACAATGTTTAGAAAAATCTTTGTGAAATCCAAATCAAATTAATGGAGTTCAAACTTTGATATGAAATGAGAGGTACTTTAAGTCAACATTATGATCATTATAATGAAGAAATTTGTTATAAAGGTGATTTGATTTCTCAAGGGCCTTATTCCTTACACAAGTTCTGCACCATATTACTTCTTTGGATTCAATAGATTTACTCCCGATTTACATAAGTATGCCTTGAACTGAATCTGGATGAGTTGATTTACATAAAAGACCTTTACATAAATGGTAAGAACATATAAGAGAATAGCAGTGGCCATTAAATTCTAACTCTATAATCAAGAAGCTGCCACCTCAAAGCGAAGTCAAAGAGTAACATTTACCCTATCAAAGGACAGAAACACACCATGTGATCCATCTGTCCAATTAGAACAGCTTGAAAACTGAGTACTCAGAATGAAAGGCTTGTGAACAGACCAATAATTATACATCAAAATCATTCAGGAAATAATTCTGATTAATGGATATATTTGAGAAAATTGTGATCTATTTGCAGACAACTTGTAAGCAAAAAAGAGGCAACATTTCCCTAATAGTTGATTTGCTCAGAATTTTTCTCCTAGCTCAGCTAAACGCTGACCTTTAGTTACTCAATGACAACATGTATTTCACTGTCTGACAGACGACGGACTGCTCTCCCCAGTTAGGGATCACACATGTTGGAGGTGGAAAAGACCTGTTCACTCCCTTTACCTATCCAATACTGATGCAAGATGTCTTTTCAGGACATTTCCTAAGCACAGTCTTATGCAGAACAGAATCAGATATAATTTTGTATCTACCCATTGAAAAAAACACTGGAATGTAAAAAAAGATTCTTCATCCAGTTTTGTCACTGTCCATTGCCCCATGGGTTTAATCATGGAATTTAACAATATGGTATTACATTTATTGAAAG